TGAGAGAGAGAGAGGGGGGGGGAATCAAAGAAGAAAGAAAGACAGGTGCCACATACATAGAACACATCACCATGCATTCTAAATAACTTCACAATTCTAGTTTCAGTTTCAGATAGAGTTTTACGGCACTTGCAACACAACTAACTGGGTCACGTAAGTGTCGAAGATTAGGGATCTTAATAGAGAGTAACATACAAAGGGGGAAAAAAAAGGAACGAGAGACAAGGAAGAGGAAGATAGATGTTTCATGGGAAAGAAGGAGCAAACCACATGAGAACACCTGCCAACCACTCATTAGTAAGGCTTTCCTAAACTACAGGAACGATATGAGATACAGATTTTCCCCCATCATAATTTTATAGCTCAGTTACACTTATGATCAATCCCATCTCAATTTCGGTGTGTGCTAATAGATTGTAATGTTTTTAGGCTCCTCTTGACACAAATTGGATAACTTAGCATCCTTGCAAGCAGAAATATGACACTTGATAGAATTAACTTCATATTGGAATCGAAACCCACATCCTCAGTGTGAAAGAGCTTTATCATTACAAAACAGATTACGGTTACTGCAAGCTAAAGTATCCCTAACCTGAAAAACAAAAAACTGTAACATTTTTGAAAACCAAACAAATGTTTTAAAAATTAAATTTTGAAAAAAAACAAAAAAACTTTAAAAAACCCTAACTTTCTGGAAAAAAAGGTGCCCTGCAACAACAATAAAACCAAATAAAATCAATCACTCTGAACCAGGAAGCCTCCATTTGGCAATAGATCAATAAATCACTAAATGCACAGACCAGATGCTCCTCACTCTAATTGTCAAAAAAATTCTCATTGTTTGAGGGGGAGGGGAGGGGAGGGGAGGAGCGGAGAAGGAGTGGAAAGCTTCTGTTTCTACAGTCTCTCGCTACACTCGCATTAACCAACCCTTCAGGCAAAATTGCCATCAACTCAGAATTTCTCTGTCTGACCTTTTTTTTCCACAGTACAATTCTCTTTTCTGGTTCAGTTAAAGAGTTTTACGGCACTTGCAAACGGACAATAGCAGACACAAGCAGCCAAGGGCCTGACTCAAAACTCTGTTGTTTTTGTTTTTGTTGGGTTTTTTTGTTCTTTGGTGGGGTTGCTTTTTTTTTGTGGGTCCTTTTTTTCTTTTTTTTTTTCTTTTTTCTTTTTTGGGGGGGGGTTACGTTTTGTTGGGGGGTTTTTAAGATAAGAGGAGATATTACTTTAAAGTCTCAGACGGAAACTTTCCATGGCTGCTCTGGACTGTAAAACACATGCAGGTATACACAGAAATCAAATTATATATTACTCTCATTAAAATTCAATTTTAACCATAATTAACCCCTTCATTTTTGAAACCCGTTCATTTACATTTGTGCAGACAACTCTCATTAAAATTCAATTTTAACCATAATTAACCCCTTCATTTCTGAAACCCGTTCATTTACATTTGTGCAGACAAGGTAAAATATTTATTCAAGAGAGATTTAAACAAATCCAAAACATTGGTCCCCTTATTTAAGAATAAACAACCGAACAAGCGGTAGTTACATCTCATAAAAATTCCTCTTCAAGCCAGTAGTAATAAGATAACACTTAACCAATTTTGGTGAACACAGGCCGGCACAATCATCATCTATACAGAGGTAAAGAGGTTATTGTAGGTGGTGGGGGCGGAGAGGGGCTGGTTATGCTCTTATCGATCCATCCATACAATTTAGATCATTTAGGAGGCAGGCTTCCGACCCTGACTATTAACACTTTGCAGTCACCCAGCCAGAAGAGCGAATTCAACGGACTTCTCAGGCCTGGCGCAGAACTTCAAAGGGTGACCGGAACGGTTAATTTTCACCATCGCCTTATTGCGGCAAGTGACCGCAAAGTGTTAATGCCAACCCAGGCTGAGAGGGATAGAATATCCCAGCAGAAAGAACAAGATATTCAATAAAAACTTTCTCCCCACTCTGGAATTGAACTCGAGTCTCCTGTGTGAGTGCCACAAGAAAGCGCTGAGCCGCTACGCCTCAAACATCAGTCCTGTTACTGCATGAGTGCAGACATGTTTGTGGACATTCTATGCTCATGTAGAGTACCATAAGTATGATAAGTAAGAAATGCCTCTCATTAGTAGTTTAGTTTAGTTTTTAAGAGTTTTATGGTACTTGCAAAACAAATTGACAAATTATATAAGAAAAGTGCAGAACAATAAAGCTGTTGCTACTACAGAGAAACATACAAAGAAAAGAAGAATATGAGGAGCCTAGAGATAGGACAAAAGATGTATGATAGGAAAGAAGGCGCAAACCACAAGAGAGCATCCGCCAACCACACACATTTTTAAGTTTCAAAATAATGAAAAAACAAAGATTACCACACTAAAAAACAAAAAAATGAATCCAAAAAAACAACAACAAAAAAAGAAAGAAAAAGAAAAAACCCAACAAAAGCACTACTCACAACTTCTCCAAAAGCTGCTGTGTGAACTGGATTCTCCTGGGGTGTTTCTGATCCATCTCTTTGATACTTCTGGAAACCTCTCGGATCTGTCGGGACAGTTTGTTGTACCTGAAATTTAAAAAAGAATTTTTACCGAAACTGTTTTGACTCTTTTATTTATCTACGGAAGGAGGGGTTTTCCCTACCTTGCTCGAGCCCTCTTTTGGTACAAAATTCTAAAAGTGACATAAACGTCACCACTAAATTAGTCATCAAATCAAAACAAATGAACCTATTTTGATGGTTCTTGATCTAATGAAAGAACTCCCGAGTTAAAGATAACGTCGAAATCACAGTTAAAAATAACGTGCCCCAGACACTGCCAGCTGCTCATCAGCACAGCGGTTCTGACCGCTAGCCACCGGAAGCAGCTTACCAGAGATATGGAGTTACAGTTTTCTCTATCAACACAAATTTAGATCTTTTAGGAAGCAGGCTTCCGAGCCTGCCTATAAAGGCCAACCCAGGCTCAGAGGGATATAACATCCTAACAGAAAGTTGGGCAAAAGATGAAGCCTAATAACTTATAACTAATGGGTGCTAAGACAAAGACGATTAAATCTAACAGGCTACCCAGTGCCTATAGGCACCATCAGTTCGGTTCGGTTTGATAGGCGGGGCTCGCCAGCTTGAATGCCAGTCATTTCATCACACGGTCATTTTGTCATACCGGTGCAGTCAAGTTGTCACACCCCAAATCCACAAGGTAGAATGGAAACTGTCATTTTGTAGCACACTCACAAACATCAAGCGCGCATTGTCATGGCAATCGCTAATCACGATTTTGGGGGGACGGTTGGGGCATTGTGTGAAGGACGGGGGGGGCTGTTTGAGTCTACCTGATCAGCTACACCTTTCATAAATAAGTAAAATAAGTATTGGCAATATTGGAATCTATCAAGTCAAATC